CCCAGTTTGGCATTCATGTTGCCCATTAGAATTTTGATATCGCCAACTGAGGTTTTGTCCAGTGTTGATTGAAGTTGTCTGTGGAACTCCTCCCTCTTCTCTTGCTCTGCATTACTTGCGGGTGCCTAGCGTAGTATTTTATAATTGTGACTTTCCTTCCTTTTGAGTTGAACTTTACTGTCATGATCCTGGAGGAGATTGGTTCCCACTGCATGAGGGCCTTCGATACTCTTGGGGACATCATGATAGTCACTCTCTAATTCAGTGTGCTCGTGGTTGTCGGCGGGTGACCGTATCGGAGCAGATTATTGATTCTTCAGTTGACAGTTTGGAGAATCCACTTCCATTCCATCTGCTTACACCTCACAAATTCCAAGCACTTCAATGTGATACCTCTTCATCTCATTTGCAATCTGGGCAGCCTTGGTAGGTTCAGACATGATGCGGACATTCGATGTCCTCACGTTCACTTTCGTTTTCATCGAGGGAGAGAATACACATCGGCCAATTGGCTTCCCGAAGGCTTTCACCAACTGGCGTCATTTCGCCTCTCCGATTCCAGCGAGGAATGATTTTGTTACTATTTTTTATATTTTGTTTGTGCTTTGAAGTTTGTTTAGCGGTTAGATTTGTTTTACGGGGTAGGGTTGCTAGCCGTGTGCCCAACCTTCCCTCTTTTCACCCGGGCTTAGGACTGGCTAGTAACTAGTGAACTAGTTAACCAGGCGAGGTTTAATGCCACACGTGTCACTGAGTAATTATGTATTTTGATGAGAACACTGCCAAGAGGGAGTGGAAGTGAACTCAGGTTTATGAAACTGAGCGAATAGAACGGTGACCATCTATACTTTAAAGCACATGGAGGTGGTATTTTAACAATGAATCGCACAAAAGGTTATATCCTCACTATTCACCAGCATATAGATGCAATGTGTTAGATTTCATGATACTGTGCATAATTCTGGTAGACATGGGAAGTGAAGCTCAATATCCCGTTATTTTTAAAATCCCCTTTACGCAGTGCATGATTCAAAACTACTTACAAATGGAGGTCTAAAACTGCCAATGAGGTTGCTTCTTCCAAACTAAGTCAACAAACAATTTCGAAACAAGTATTATATATGGCTCCATAGAATAGAGCGACTGAAGGTTTTGTGGAAAAGTGCGGCCCGTTCGCTTCTTGGGATTAGAGCGGAAAGATAACTCATTGTATTTGCCTAGTGGCTAAGGTCGAAAATTGCATAAGATTATGACGGCTGTGTGGCTAGGGACCACATACTACCCGCCTAAGATGGACATCCAAAACTGCTGTTTCTTGCTGTCATCGCGCGGTGTTTTCAGGACTTTTCTTGAAGCAGAATACATTTCTTCACCTCACCACCCGGGAGAGCGGCACTTGTGTACCAGTTTCCATTGGAATACTTAGCTTCAAGTCAGACGACAGCGCATTCAACGATTTGGTGATTGGAGGCAGTGTGTTCAGGCACAAAGATATCCACAAAGCGACATGGATTTCACCAGATGGACACACTAAAAATCAAATCGACTTTATCTCAATCTCAAGAAAATGGAGACGCAGTCTACTTAACACAAGGTCAAGAAGAGGAGCAGATGTAGGTTCAGACCACTACCTAGTGCAAGGAACCTTCCAAATCAAGTTAAAGGCCTTCAAGGAAGCTGGTGATAGACCTCAACCCAAGTACAACACTCGGAAACTGAAGGATGAAACTACAAAGGAGATCTTCATGGCAGCCATCAAGACAAAATGGGAGACGTCGAGGGACATCCCTGAAGAAACCTGTGTGGAAGAACACTGGAAGTCTTTGAAAGCTATGTGGAAAGAAACCTGCACAACAGTATTAGGAAGGAAGAAGAAAGAAGACAAGGAATGGATCTCGACGGATACCTGGAAGCTGATAGAGGAGAGGAGGATGGTGAAGCAGAAGATAAACCAGTGCAAGGATGCTCAACGACAAGAGGAACTGAGCACAATGTATAAAACACTGGACAAAGAAGTGAAGAAGAGTGCACGCAAAGACAAAAGACACTTCTACGAAACACTGGCAAGTGAAGCAGAACAGGCTGCAGGTAAGAGAGACCTGACGACATTGTATCAAATAACCAGGTTGCTATCAGGGAATAGACCAACACAGATGAAACCAATAAAAGATGAAGAAGGAAATTTAATTACGAAAGAAGAGAAACAGAGGAAACAATGGGCCAACCACTTCAAGAAGCTCTTGAATCGACCAACACCTGCACTTCGTCCAGAAATACCACCTGCAGCCGCTGAACTACAAGTGAACATAAATCCCCCAACGAAAATGGAAGTCCTGAACGCCATAAAGCTACTGAAATGCGGGAAAGCAGCAGGACCAGATGGAATACCGCCAGAAGCACTGAAAACAGATGCAGAGACAACAGCGGCCATGCTCACACCACTATTGCAGAAGGTGTGGAAGGAAGAGAAGGTACCTGACGATTGGAAGAAGGGTTACCTTGTCAAACTGCCGAAGAAGGGAGACCTCAGTGCTTGCAAGAACTGGCGCGGAATCACTCTCCTGTCCACCCCAAGTAAAATATTAAGCCGCATCATCCTGGAGAGGCTAAGGGATGCACTGGATTCAAAACTACGACCGGAACAGGCAGGCTTCAGGAAGTACAAATCATGTGCAGACCAAATTGCAACGCTTCGTATCATCATAGAACAGAGCATAGAATGGCAATCACCTCTCCACCTCAACTTCATCGACTTTGAGAAGGCCTTTGACAGCGTCGACCGAGAAGTAATTTGGAAACTGCTTCAATACTACGGAGTACCACAAACCTTTATCCGCCTCATTCAACAACTATATGAAGATGCTACATGCCAAGTAATCCACAATGGGAAGCTCAGTGATGCCTTTGAAGTGAAGACAGGAGTGAAACAAGGTTGCCTACTATCCCCCATGATATTCTTGATTGTGGTGGACTGGATCATGCAGCAAACAGTAGGCAGCGAGAAGAGGGGGATACACTGGACGACGGAAAAGAACCTAGAAGACTTGGATTTCGCCGATGACTTATGCCTAATGTCACATAAACTTGAAGATCTGCAGGCAAAAACTAACAAGTTGATAGAAGAGGCAGCGAAGACGGGACTTCAGGTGAATATAGAGAAGACAGAAGTGATGAAGATACCGCACCACCACCATCAACAACAACAACAACAAACTCCAATCACCGTCAACGGGAGAAACTTAAAGGAAGTAACCTCCTTCAGTTATCTAGGAAGCACTGTTTCAACTACAGGCGGGACGGACGAGGACGTCAAAGTCAGAATCGGAAAAGCAAGACAGGCGTTCATCAGCCTGAGACCAGTGTGGAGATCTTCTGCACTCAGCATGCGGAACAAGATACGGATTTTCAACACCAACGTAAAGTCAGTGCTCTTGTATGGCTCAGAGACTTGGCGCGTCACGAAAGGTATTTCCAATAAACTACAGACATTCATCAACAACTGCTTACGCTCGCTGCTGAAGATCAGATGGCCAGAAAAAATAAGCAACAAGGAACTCTGGGAACGAACCAACCAAGAACCTATCACGCAACAAATATGCAGGAAGAAGTGGAGATGGATTGGCCATGCACTGAGAAGGCCGACGGAGGACATCACGCGTCAGGCCCTCGAGTGGAATCCCCATGGGAAGCGACGAGTTGGACGTCCGAGGGTGACATGGAGGAGGTCGTGCGAGGAGGAAATGAGAGCTTCTGGGCTGTCGTGGGACCAGGTTCAAAAGATCTCAGAGAACAGAGGTCACTGGAGGCGTGCTGCTGAAGCCCTATGTTCCACTAGGAACCCAAGGGACTAATAATATTAATAATAATAAGTCAGACGACATACTGTGTACACAGTTTCACATATGGGAGACTTCAGAAGGCAACCCACTTTGTCTACTGATACATTTACCATTAACTTTATACAATGCAGTAGGGATGTGGAACGGGTTTTCTTTTCCACATGTCCATCTAGTATCATTTTACATCTCTGTAGGTTCACTATCGAAAGCTATTAGTTAGATTTCAAATTATCGACTCTTGATCGGGCTACTGCTTAATTTCTCAGTGCACCCGTTGTGGGATAAACACTTTTATAAACCGGATTCCCTCGAAACCTAGTAGGGTACGACTTTTAGGGGTACTTCGTGGCCTCATCGACAGGCTAGAATGGTAAACAAACTTGTCATTGTAGATTTTGTTATTGCTTTCTGTGCGCACTCTGTTATGAGCCATTTGAGTCGAACCAGTCTTTTGGCCTAAGTTTTCATATACTAACCATAATCTTCCTGCTGAAAAACCAGGTGTCAACGCCCGCACGCTGCGAAACATTGCATGCGCAACTATTTCATTATGAACAGTCATGAACAATGATAAGTAGAAACGTGAGTATTCAGTAGTTGGGCAGTAACACCGTTCACCAATATTTCCTTCAATTGGGAGAGTACAATAAATACCACATCACCTGCATGTCCGGACTCTCGGTTCTTGAGGGAGCTCCACACCCGCCAACTGCACCTATTAGTCAGAAATTGCGAGCGAAGTCCAAGACTGTATCATGTCACTAGTCGAGGACATCCCATACATGTCAGCCTACCTTATTTTGTCATTGCCTGTGGAGCGCCAACCTAAACAGGAGTTGTGAGAAGACGTCGTATCAGCTTGTAGCTTCCGATCAACTCAATCTACAGGCTGCAAATACAAATAGTCAGGTAACATCCTATCAGAACTAAGCAGAAAAAAGTCCCCTGCCTAAAATGACAGAAAATCAACTTTCAAGAAATTCACTTCTGGAAATAGACACTAGAGTTAACGAACTGTTATTTTTGTAAGATTTGTTTAACCTCATCAAATACAAAGGTCGTTGTAAAACCGCCATGACAACTAATGGTCTTTTAAATTCATAATAAGTTATAAAGCGCCCGGAGACTTTCAGATATCTGATTGCATTCTGTATATCAGCCATGGTATATAACTATACAAGACCGCGTGGCCCGATTGCTGCTATGTATAGCAGCCCAGGGCCATGTTATTCACTTCCCAGTTTGGTTGGTTATCCGAATCACGATCCTCGTTCTAATCATCTTCGTGGTGCTCAGTGGTCTTTTGGTATTCGACATGGGAAGTTCAGCGATGAGAGCAGTCCAGGACCTTGTTACTACCCAGACTCAAAAATACTTCGTGATGGCAAAGATGGAACGCCCCATTATTCTCTATATAGTAGACAAAAAGAAGCTATGATATTTTCTAATCCTGGACCAGGAGCCTACACTCCAGAAAATAGTGATAGTTCTGTGTTTCATAAGGCGCCAGCTTATTCTCTCAGTTCTCGGAATAAAGAGTTCAAAACAGATGACGTTCCCGGTATGTAGATGCTCCAGTATATTCAAGAATTCTTATAGGCCCAAATAGGTATAACATTGACCCTATGCTTGGAAAAACGGTACGAAGCCAAAAGCAGTCAGCTCCTGCATATTCCTTGTCAAGTAGAACAAAATTGTTCGGTGCGGCTGAGGTAGGTGCATAAGAAATAAACTACTTGTTTTAGACACCTGGCGCTGGGGCATATAACGTTACTGACCTTAATTTGTATCGTGAAGCAGCTCCTAAATATTCAGTTACAGGAAGGAATCAGCTACCGACTGATACAACCAAAAAGCCTGGTCCTGGAGCTCATTATCCTGAAAGAGTGAGTTCATATGCCCAGCCTCCTACATAGCGGTAACGTTTTATCAAGTAATTTTCGTCAAGTGATATTGAGTAAACACCTGAAATAAACAATCTTATATATTTAGGAATTTAAACACTGATAGGTTTGTATAACAGCTTGCCACTTTAGGTGGGGAGTAAGTTACTCAGTTTAATCCATCTTGACATAAAATGAGCATTAGACGAAGCTGATCACAAAAGATCTTGAATTTCAGTAATGAAAGCTTTTGATTTGACTCAAAACTTATGAACAGGGCTAGCGATCCAAAAACCACACAGTACAGACTCATGTTACAACCTTTTTGATTTTCTGAAAATGCAAACTTTTCCACGAGCTGGCAGAATATTACTTCTCCGTTTGTGTACCACTCGCATGATATGCGTAGCCTATGTACTGGAAGGATCACGATACGTCTGGTGCTATATATTGTGAACAATACACATTTTAGTAGCTTTTAGTTCATATATAGCCTGTCTAGGAACAAATCCTTTCAAATACTTATAGCACACTAAAAATGACTCCACAACTTGTAGTGATTCTGTAGGGCTTTACGAAGAAGAAATATACCTTATGGGCAGCGTTTTTTGATACATTTTGCTCGCAGAATACTAGACAGTGATACGTAATCTATAAGTAAGGGAGTAATTAGCTTCAGTTTCTAGCTTATTTCATATATTGAAGTCAACATTTAAGTGTACAGTGAAATCTGTTTGTAATTTTAGAATGTATTCATAAAATTGTGGGCCTGTGATCTTTATCGCCACCTTCGGAACAAAACAGTGTCTTCACGTCCTCTATATTGCATGCATTATAGTTGGACCAAATTATATTTTGCTGCCCCTTGTTTACTCACAAAAACCTTAAAATAATGTCAAAAGTGTAGCAGAATACCTCAAGACACTTCATGAGATACACAGAACAATGATGTTGTACGCATGGATAATTTTAGTCTGTAAAATTGCACAACAACAAAACAGGTAAAACCAGTAACAAGACAGACAACAAATTAATCATGGGTGAGGTGAAGATTGACGGGGTATTCAAGAGTTAAGTAAGATAAATGGTGTCTGGATTCGCTTAATTGTCGCTGGTTGTGGATTATGTCACGTAGCGTTCAACGGATAATTTCTACCGTGTTAAGAATTCTTATCAGGTGAGTGAGACTAGCTACAAGGCTCAGGACAAGGGTTACTGACTTTGGGAAGTGGTTTTCTAATTAAACTTCGAAAACGGTTTTGTAATTTCGCTTATTGACCCACATGATGCCAGAGTTCCCAGTGATGAATATAAAAGCAGTAGTTGTACTAATGAAAACTGAATCTTGTTAACAGGATCATGAATTTTCGTGCAATTTTGGCTATTTTCGTTCTTGAAATGTTTCCATATTGCAGATGCGTTGATGAAAGAAATGAATTACGTCATTTATAACTTCAAAACTATGAAATGTTTTCATAAATTAAGGAGAAATTTTGCTTTTCATCCGGAAACACTTTCGGTTTACATGGTTTTGTTTGTTACTGGGTAACATTGAAGTTTAGAAATGCGGTTTTATTACGAAATTCGCCACGTGCTGATGAATCGTTTCGTAATCATTTTATATATTCTCATACGCTTGTCTAGTTTATAATCATCTTTTTTCTATCTGCTTGTATTTTCAACACTGCTATTAAATATGGTAGCGTAAATCTGTACCACATTTCACGGTGATTTGTTTCAAGCAAGGATCCAACTACCGAGGTTCAGGCTACCAGTTTGATTCATCAGCCTTCAGATAATAGGTGTTGCTTATTGCTTACTGCACGGATTTGCACAAGGTCATTGAGTGGATTTCGACTGTATTTTTGACGTTGATTTGTCTGTCATTAACTTCAATTTTCTAGAGACTCAGTTAAGGTTTTCTGTGTATGCAGTCATTTTTGTAGTTGTTAAATGAAAGTACACATCTGTATTTTGATAACACCTATGTTTGAATTAAGTGTTCATTCGGTATTTTCATTGTACGGATACTAGGAATTGATTTGTAAATTTTTGAGGCCACTGCACCCACGTATTGCTCCGATAAGTTTATATACAGACTTGTTTTCATCGTACACTCAAATGACAAAGACCTTTGAATTTACGTGCCACTGATTAAATTATGATTCAATCTACCTAGAACCTTGGATAAGATAGGTTCACATTCGAGTCTTAATTAGGAAAGACAGCTGGAAAAAACAACTGGTGTGACCATTTTAAGAAACTAACCCATCATCAAAGCGTTTCGCTTATATGAGAATAACTCACATTATACATTTGAAGTGAATTCATTGTTGTGCACCTTGGCAGAAAAAGCTATATCTGTGTAATGCGTTATGAAATTTTCTGCAGTAAGTATTTATTTGCTGTCATACTGACTTTGTGTCTTTTGGAGCTGTGTAATAGAATATATATCGATTTCTTTTATTGAACTAGATTCCTATGAAATATATATTGTCATCGCCTGGAAATAAGTTCCACTATCAGATGTTGTCTTTGACACTTTATAAATCGGTATAATCCTTTAGTTGTTTGAAAAGCTGTGTTTTAGTTTGACCTAACCAGTAAACTGAACCGCGTTAAGGATTACGTATCTGCGCTTTTTCCGTAAATACACTGAAACAAATTAGTCCTTTACTTCCCTTCCCATTTTGGTGGGATAAACCCCTTTAGGCTAGTTGTTTAATATCCTAGAGAAAACTAGGTCTTAAAAAAGTATGAAAACATTCATTTTAAAACAGATGTGTAACCAGAACTATAAACTTGCAATTTATTACACGTTGTGTGAAAGAAAAAATATCAAGTAGTTCTGACTACGATTGGTGGTATTACACTCAAAATTTAATCACTACGAAATGGCGACATACAGAGTCTTCAGAACACCTAGTATGACAGTTTATGGATGGTTAGCATGCGTTCCTCATCAGCCGAATCCAAATTGTTACCCAAAGGCTAGTTCATACTGATGTCTTGTCAAATAATGCGTAGCATAGCCCGCGCGTCGTAGTGCCACTATATCAGTAATGCAGAAGTCAGGCGTAGAGGTTTGTGCAGGAGAGGGAAGTCGGTTGACAAGATTGTGAACCTTCAACCACTCAGATGTCTGATAAATGTATTGGACATGCCAGTTCACCGTCTACCATGTCGATTAATATTACCTGAGATAAGCTGAGAGTCAGTGCCGGTCAGACTAACGCAGTAATGCCAGGTCCCATTTTCATATTAACTGATTACTATGAGGTGCAAACAATGAAGCCTAAAAACATCTTAGAAAATGCATTGCCAAAGTTTTGTTTAGTTTCAGTTATTCCTCTGTTAAATAGTTTAGTTTGTTTGTGATTCTTCACCTCTTTTATGTACTTACTATACTTGTTCAAAATTTATTTATCCACTTACTTCATCCTTCAGTATTACATAACTTTTGTTGTTACTAGCATTTAACCCACTTTGATCATCGGAATATCCACATTTACATGCTGTTTTCTCGGTTGTTATCATTACCATCATCTATGCTTCAACTGCTACAATCAGTACTGTCAACGTTATCATTCTTATTGTTATCACCATCGTTATTTTAAAACACTATATATATATATATATATATATATATATATATATATATATATATATATATATATATATATATATATATTACAATGTAGTCCTCAGACAAAGAACCCATTTTTTCAATACATTCCTAATTTGATGGTTTAAAGCCCAAAAAAAATCATTTGTCAAAATGTTTGCACATCTCACTAACTTCTGTACACTTGTTAGTGTGTGTATGTTCTACAATGGCGTTCAGATACTTCAAATGATGGATATTTGACCTCAGAATTTATTGGTAATGTTGATTGTTATGAGAATATAACCGAAAGATACAAAAGTTATTCGTATGTTCATATATTCCTCAGTCTTTATGCTGAATGTTTTTCATCACTGTTTCTGTAATAGGTTCTAAGTTGTTCCGTCTGTCAGACTGTTACAATATTCTTTAAGCCTTGCGGCAAAAAGTATTTCTTTGAAGAGTGGACGATTATATTTTCTAATGCATGGTTGCTGCGCAAGTTATCTCTAGGTAATAAGAAATTTGAACATTTGGCAAGTTTTACACGTTTTCCACGCATAGCAATATTTTTTTTAGTTAGTAAAATATTGTGATGTAAATAATTTGTGCGCTTACAACCCTAGTTTCCTTGTACTGAGATGTTTTATGGGTATATAACTCTAATTTCAACTGCTTTTAATGTTATGTTGGTATGTGAAGGGAACGTTTGTTGTTATCGAAAGTCTGTGTAGTTTCGTGACTGAAACCGTTAACACCTAGATGATTTCTATAATATTTTGTAACCTTTTTATTTAGGTGTACGTAAATTCTAAGTCCGCGCCACAGTTCTCATTTGGCATTCGTCATTCACAATACAAGGGTGAATTTATAACAGACGCTGATCTGAATCAGTAAGAATGCAGCAAGGATGTAGAAGGAAAACTATTATTTCGTTTATCTTTACCAATCAAGATATGAGTACCAATCACTATTTCCTTGGAAATGTATGGTTTGTTCACAGCCGTATTAAATCTGAACTTGCATGTGATACAGAACAAACAAAGTTTACCACTTTTATTTTTAACAATCATGATCTCGTCTTATAGTTGTTCATGTTCAGTAAGAGGTTTTCCTGAACTCAATCTACTTCACTATTTTTCTATCTCAGTTTTCTGAAAATTATTCAATACAGATAAGTTTTCCAAAAAAGCTATTAGTGTTATGAAAGACTTCTGACTGACTATATAACGTAGGTAATAAAGCTGTGCAAAGTAGTGCGAAAGTTCGTGTAGTTGTGTTAAAGGAGCTCTACGTGTAAACGTCCAGATAGATTATAAACCACGTTACGTTTTTATACAATTTCTCAAGGATAACCTGATATCTATCAGAGTTGACAAAAAGCGGTCAATTTTACTTGTCCCAATATATTTCACTTTTCTCACCGAGCAATCACCTGAGTTCCACAGTTCTTGAACTAGAGCAGTAAAATTTATTCATTATGCTGACACAATACGCAAGTATCTTCTAGGAAGGGGATTTAAGGGAAACTTTTGATGAAACATGGTCTCAAAGTTTAGCTGTCTTAGTATATATTATTGATCTCTCTTACTTGCTACTGTGAAAGACTGACCTCCATTTCATGAGCCAACTAAGCGAATATTTGATTTATCTTTCAATTTTAATAAACATTCATAGCGTGAACCAAAAGTCAGGTTTAAATGTGCTGCTCAACAATTCAGTGTATTCAAAGATTACTGTAAAACATTCGGTAACTGTCATTTGTTTTCAATTTTATGACATTAGATAGAGGTTGTTGTTCGCTTCATTTAGGCCTATTTCCAACCCTTTGAAATCATGGTGATATTGAATGAAAGGTGAAAAGGCATTATGGCTTTCAGCTTACAAAACGGTGAAACAAAGCCGGAGAAGGCTGGACCTTTTGACTGAATAAATTGACACAGTGACATCTGGTTTTCATAGGCCTCACAGGTGTGAGGACCTAGAGATTAGAATAATGCTAAAATATTTGCTTGTTTTAATGACCACTTTGCAAGCAAGAAAACAGGGCAAATTTCACTGCTCCCTAAAATTATGCAGACTTTATTACTGTCAATTAGCAGTATTTTACATTCCAAACTGCCTGTATGCAATGAATCCGTTTAAGAACTAGTTGATAAGTGATTCAACTAGTACGTCCAGACATTCGTTTGCTCACAGAATTTCTTTCAGCTACTACATTTTCATGATTTATTCTACCTTGTGTAAATAATTGTTCTCGTCATATGTGAGGAATTGTGGGGTTGATCACAGGAGTAAAGTATTTCAGTATATATAAGAATGCTAGAACTGGACGAGGTAATAAACATGGAATGAGTGAAAACTCTAATAGCATCTCTGCTTTCTGTACATCGAGAATTTCAAGAGGGCGGAAAGTTAACACGTACTACCTCTGATTTCTACCTTCAGAGGGTTTTAACCCGATCATTGTGGTAAGTATCCACTTACTTAACGCCTTCGTACCTTAAGAGCGTCGCTATACCACAATTTCACGAATGGCTTTCCTACGAATTCCTTAAAGAAACTAATAAATTTCAGTATGAGTGATAGGAGGGTCTAGAGTTGGTAAAACAAGTCCACAAGCATAAATTTACATCTGTCTGTGTTGACTTTCGACTGCTGAAGATAGTTAAACTTTGAACGCAGATAAGGATGTAACAGTTTTCAGTTTCATAACTTGGGTCTTCGATTCTCACAAACTGTTAAGTAGTCCCCTAAGTCAACAAACTTGCTACTACTCCTTAATGAATAGCATAAGTTTGGGTTAGTGTTAGCTATATTGATTGATCACTGGGGAGTAACCAACTTCATGTTGTCTAGTTCTAATTGACGATCCAATTCATCGGTCGTTTTGCAATGTGGCCACCAGGCTAGTTGACTTAACATTGCAGTGCACTTTAATAGATATTAGTTGGATGGAGACAGGATCTATCAAAGTGCATTGTGATGTTGAGTCAACTAAAAAAAAAATGAATTTTAACATAATGATTTTCCTAAAGAAGAGGACGAAGAATACTCATGAAGTATTTCTTTAGTTTGCAGTTTCACATTTACTGACCAACCTAATCAAAAGAATAAAAGTATGAAAACACAGAAGACAATCAGTTCAACATTTTGATTCTCTGGGTCAAATCATAGAAGATAATCGCCAAACTGTGGCTTAGTGCTTTCAGCACTTAAATCTCAAGCACTAAGTCATTAGCTTGAACCTCATCCCAGTCAACATTTTCTAGGTAATTATAAAACAGAGTTTGAGGCGAATATGTATTTTTGGTAAATTCTCATCAGGCTTTATAATTACACTTATAAATTATTCACCGTAATCATTTGATACCAACGTGGTTAATTTCAATCAGTTATATGAATTAGAAGATAAAAATAAAGGCGATAATAACAAAAACAAAATCTCAAAAGGTTTCTATATTCTCAGTAGTCAATTTTTGTAGGTATGTGAGTGGATTGTGTGTGTGTGTGCGTATGTGTGTGTAGGCATAGAGGGAAATGAAATTATTGTCGCATAGCCATTACATAATAAAATTTTACGATTCTTAATCAGTTATGGTACTAAGGACGAAATATAATATGATAATGATAAAAGTACAAACACAGATCATATTTACATTCATCAGGGTGACCCGGAAGGAAATTATTGTGATTGCATCTGGGTTAAAGTTGAAGGCCATGGGGGGGGGGGAAAGGGGAAAAATTAGGTTTGAGAATTTTATTTGTTATGGCTTCTTGTATGCTTAGCGTTATCCACCAAACCAACTAAGTAAATTACCATAACAAATATTCAGGCAGTATCAAGGCATCTGCATAGTAGCCTATATGCCAGTGGAGGTCGAACAATTCGATCCAGTAAAACAACGGAAAAATACAAGAATATCAGCAAACAGTAATAACTAGTACCCGTTGTGCAAGAGTTAGCTATCGTGCCTCAGTCCCCTAGTGGATAACGCTTTGGGGTTTGAAGCGATGGGTACATTGTTCGAGTTTCAGTGGAGTGCCGGCACATCCAGCTAACGAGTCTCAAATAGGACAAAACGCTCGTCTTAGATTCTCCTGCTAGCCACAACCGAATAAATTATAAGAACAGTTTCTATTCTATACAATCTGAAAAGTGATGTACATCTTGTGGTAGATATAACGATGAAAATGAAATTTCAAATATTGTGTATTTCGACTAAAGCAGGTTTTAACGACTGATATCTTCTGAATATTTGATTTAAAAGAAACGAATTTCTCACCATTGACAACTCTAATATCTGAAAACCTTGCCAGCTGTTTTTAATTCACTAATTAAAGTTCACTCGTCCAACGTACTTTGCAAGTGGTATATTTAGAGTCCATATTTTATTCGTAAATAGTTTTTTGGACTAAATTGAAACCGTATTCGGCAACCATACACTCTAGGCGTGTAAAAACCTATACAACAACTACCCTTATTTTGGACTTTCGGCCTAAATTGCGAAGCAATAGGTTCAGTCAACTGTAATTACTTACAGTAAATGTTCAGTAGGCCTGAATGACCTAATTATGTGACAGCTTTTTCTGATGGCAATTGCAATAGCTCCAACCTTCGGGTGGTGGTGAGGTCCTCATATCACAATAGCCCAAAGAGCTATACTGGTAGGATTACATGTTTACTTGAAGTCTTACCACACGAGGAAGGTTTGTCAGAAAGTGGTAAGTCAAAAAGAAGTTACTGTTATACTGCAAGTTACTACTGTATGATGTGAGCCAGAGGGCACAGCCTTTAAAGTGTTTCCTGAGAACTCTCAGTACTATCATGCTGACATTGCCTTCTCTGTGGGAAGGTGAGATAATATCTACCCTCAGGACAGTTCATTCCTTGACTTGCGGTCTTCTGGTGCTGGTAGCAAGAGTTTTCTGGATTGATTTAGGTCAAACAAAGTCAGATCTCAAACTTCTAAAAAGGCCTTGTGTGAACGGCCTCAAGCAGATATTCCCTGAACTCCGTGGTCACGCACCATAATAGCTAATTTCATTTCTTCTTCAGGCACATAAAGAAAAAGTAACCTTCAATAATATGGGCAGGCAAGAACTGTGATCCACCTTCATAACTCTGTCAGCACTCATGTCTCCTCAGATCATTATGAACCTTCAATATGTTCACCTTTTATTCTTCCCTCACATCTTTTCATGAACAATCTTGAATTTCCTTTAATTCCTTAAAACCTTTAAGCTCTCAATAATGATTCGAGTTCACCAGACAATATTAATAGTCTCCTGTAACCATGCTGCATATTAAGGCTCTTGATATTCGCATCCTCTGCTAAACAGGACATCAAGTTTCGCTAGTCCAAACTCTGGCATCTTAAGCTGTTGACGCGTGCTATGTTTGTGAGACATCCATACAGGATCCTAGAGTTTTTACTAATGTGACCCCACCTGGCCAATATAGTGGATCTGAAAAATTCACCTCATTATTTTCTCAAGACTCGTTGGCTAGTTCTCGCGTCCGTAGAGGTGTATGTAGTCATGACTTAATTACTAAGGTAGAAAGTGCACCGCTCGACTGGATCCAGTTGACAGTCCTGTGTTCGTCATTCAGCCAAACCATTCAGTGAGGAATAAAATGAACAGTAAAACTCACTTCTGGGTCTTTGTAATCTTTGCTTACTCACCCACCTACTGACTGCAGCTCGGATGAATTGAAAAGTGAGTTCTACCGAAAACTGTCTAGCGTTTGATTGAAAGCCAAACATTTGGATGTGGTTGCTGTAGTGGGTTATTTCTGTGGCGAAGTTGGTAGGCGACACAATGGAGGAAAGCTGCTGGGTAGCAGTTTCAAAATCCCAGTCAAAAGAAGTGAAGATGGTGATCACCTACTACAA